TTTTTCTCCTCTACTTTGTGGGATTATTTAAGTAACTTTTTTCCTAAATGAAGGATATTCAGTGCAGGAAAAGCAATAGAGTATATACTTATGAAATAATTACAAGCTAATACAGTGAAAAAATATCCAGTGATAGACATGAAAAAGGAAAAAGCATGATTGACAGAACACACAATACATGATATCTAAAACAATGTCACAGATATTATTTTACCACAAAACAATTTTCAGATTCAGTAAAAAACAAAATCTAACCATACTCTGCTTACAATGACAAAACGTTCAGATAGGAAGGTTAAAAATAAGAGCTACACCAAGCAAATTCTGACAAAGAGAAAAAGCAAGAGTGGAAATATAATTATATAAAATAGAATTCAAAATTTAAATAATAGGAAAAGAAGATATTTGAAATTGTCAAAAAAAAAAAAAACACACTAAGCAGATGTCCTAAATCATTATGTGCTAAGCAGCATAACTTAAAAATGTATAATGCAAACATGTTAGAGCTGCAAGGAGAAAATGTCCAACCACAATCATAACAGGAAATTTTTCACACACCTCTGTCAAAAATCAATTGAGCAAAAGGACGAAAATAATAAGAAACTCAACTCAATTTAGATAAACATGGAATTTTATATCTAAATAATAGAGAATACACATTTTCTCCAGACTCTAAATACTTATTAAAAATAAAAGACTGTGTTTTATGAACACCTAAGTCTTCAAAAAATTCCCCAAATTTGAATTCTATGGGCCATGAGCACTGATTGCAATATAAGGGACTAGAAATTAACAAATAAATACTGATCAAAAACGAAAACATCAATGTCCTACCTGACTGAAATTTTAAAAACAATTTTGGCCCTTTATGCCTTTTGGTAGATTCTGGAAAGATTTTTCTTAGAAAATAACTTAAAACTGGAGGAAATTACATGCACACAGCTCTTACATCAAGAATTACTCATATGGCAAAAAAAAAGTCTAAGTAATCTAAATGCCCTTTTTTAAAACTTTGAGGTAAGGTCTCATTTTGTTGCCCAACAACCTAGAGTATAGTAGCACAATCACAGCTCACTGCTGCCTCAACTTCCGAGGCTCAAGCAATCCTCCGGCCTTGGCCTCACGAGTAGCTGGGACTACAGGTGCACACCTCCATGCCCAGCTAATTTTTAAAAAAATTTTTTGTAGAAATGAGGTCTCCCTATGTTGCCCAGACTGGTCTCAAGCTCCTGGGCTCAAGCAATCCTCCTGCCTTGGCTTCACAAATTGTTGGGATTACAGGCATGAGCCACCATGTCTGGCCTAATGTGTATTAATAAAGAAATACCTTAGTATTTCAGAGTACATTCATTTGATGGACTATTGTACAATCAACTCATTGACTGATATAAGCACCATATAGCAATGTAGCAAATCCTCGTGAGACTGGGCATAATGACTCACACTTGTAATTCTAGCACTTTGGGAGGCCAAGGCAGGAGGATTGCTTGAGCCCAAAAATTTGAGACCAGCCTGGGCAACACAGGGAGAACTCATTTCTACAAAAAAATTGAAAAAGTAAGCAGTCATGGTAGCATATGTCTATAGTCTTGGCTACCCAGGAAGATTGCTTGGGCTCCGGAGTTTTAGACTAGAGTCAGCTGTACTGTACTGTACTCTACCCGGGGTAACACAGTCAAACTCTGTTTAAAAAAAAAAAAAAAAAAAAAAAAAAAACCAAAAGAAAGAAAATCCTTGTGACAAGATCAAGAAAATAATCAGAATTGAAAATATGTAACTGGAAATGGTCATTTATCAGGAGATGAGATATAAATGGTCAATGAATACATAAAATGATAAATAAATATATAAAAAGATAAATTTATATGTAAATGATCATTTATCAGGAGATAAGATATAAATGGTCAATGAATATATAAAAAGCTATCACTCAAGAAATCAATATACGATGATTAATGAAAATAAGAAATCACTCATCCCACCATCAAGGTGTCAAACCATTTTAAAAAACTTTAACAGTTTACTGATGAGGGTATAAGGAACCAAGCATTCACAACTGCTGAGAATTTATAGAAATTGGTACAACCTTTCCACAATTATTTTTGACAACATATACAAAACTTTGTGAAGACCTTTTGATCTTCACAAAGTTTTGTACATGTTGTCAAAATAATTTTTAAAAATTCTATCTTTAAAATTGTCTTTCAATATCATGAAAATGTCCATACTGCCCAAAGTAATCTATAAATTCAATGCTATCCCCATCAAGCTACCACTGATTCCTTCACAAAATTGGAAAAAACAACCTTAAACTTCATATGGAACCAAAAGAGAGCCTGCATAGCCAAGACAATCCTAAGCAAAAAAAAAAAAAAAAAGCTGGAGGCATCATGCTACCTGACATCAAATTATACTACAAAGCTACAGTAATAAAAACAGCATGATACTGGTACCAAAACAGAGATATTGACCAATGGAACAGAACAGAGGCCTCAGAATTAATGCCACACATCTACAACCATCTGTTCTTTGACAAATTCAACAAAAACAAGCAATGAAAAAAGGATTTCCTATTTAATAAATGGTGTTGGGAAAATTGGCTAGCCATATGCAGGAAACTGAAAGTGGATCCTTTCCTTATACCTTATAAAAAATTAAATCCAGATGGATTAAAGATTTAAACATGAGGCCTAACACCATAAAAACCCTAGAAAAAAAGTAGGCAACACCATTCAGGACATAGGCATAGGTAAGGACCTCATGACTAAAACACCAAAAGCAATGGCAACAAATGCCAAAATAGAAAATGGGATCTAATTAAACTTAAGAGTTTCTGTACAGCAAAAGAAACTATCATTAGAGTGAACCGGCAACCAAGAGAACGAGAAAAAAAATTGTGCAGTCTACCCATCTGACAAACGGCTAATAACCAGAATCTACAAAGAACTTAAAACAAATTTACAAGAGAAAAACAACCCCATCAAAAAATGGGTGAAGGATATGAACAGACACTTCTCAAAGAAGACATTTATGCAGCCAACAAACATGAAAAAAGCTCCTTATCACTGGTCACTAGAGAAATGCAAATCAAAATACTGAGATACCATCTCATGCCAGTTAGAATGGCGATCATTAAAAAATCAGGAGACAACAGATGCTAGAGAGGATGTCGAGAAATAGGAACATTTTACACTGTTGGTGGGAGTGTAAATTAGTTCAACCATTGTGGAACACAGTGTGGCACTTACTCAAGGATCTAGAAAGAGAAATTCCATTTGACCCAGCAATCCCATTACTGGGTATATACTCAAAGGATTATAAAAGATTCCATTATAAAGACACATGCACATGTATGTTTACTGAGGCACTGTTTACAATAGCAAAGCCTTGGAACCAACCAAAATGCCCAACAAAGACAGACTGGATAAAGTAAATGTAGCACATATACACCGTGGAATACCATGCAGCCATAAAAAAGGATGAGTTCATGTCCTTTGCTGGGACACAGACGAAGCTAGAAACCATCATTCTTAGCAAACTGACACAAGAACAGAAAACCAGACAGCGCCATGTTCTCACTCATAAGTAGGTGTTGAACAATGAGAACACATGGACAAAGGGAGGGGAATATCACACATGGGGGCCTGTTGTGATGCTGGGGGTAGGTAGAGGAAAGATAGTAGGGGGTGGGAGGATTGGGAAGGGCTAACATTAGGAGAAACGCCTATTGTAGATGATGGGGGGATGGATGCAGCAAACCACCATGGCACATGTATACCTATGTAACGAACCTGCATGTTCTGTACATGTATCCCAGAACCTAAAGTATAATTTATTTAAAAAATTAAAATATGGGCAAAGATATAGTTACCAGGATGTTCTCCATTATCTAAAATAGTGAAAAACAATGACAATCCAAATGTCTAAAAATTAGAGAGCAGGTAGATATTTGATATAGTCATACTTATGTAATACTATGCAGTGTTTAAATTATATTATAAAATTTAATTATTGACAGAAAATGTCTCAATATGTACGTGAAGAAAAGCAAAGCATAAGGCACATGTAACGATTCCATTTTTGTTACATACATTTGACTATGTTTGTGTGTGCACACATAGAAAAATTAATATATACATTAAAATCCCAGAAGACTATTGGCCAGATATAATAACAGTGGCCATCTTTGAATAATGGAACATTTAGGTGATTTAATCTCCTTTTGCTCTGTATTTTCTAATTTTAAATAATGAATATGCATTACTTATATAAGAAAAATGTTATCAAACTACACAAATGAGAAAACAAATGAAGGAAAATTTTAAAACTTAATGATTTAAAAATGGGATGGTGGGTATTTTTTTTTCTTTTTGCAATCTCTCTAGGATGGTCTCACATTATGCTTGTTACGTAATATTTAAAAAATTAATAGTGAAACCACCCATGATCATTAAGGAGAAAATGGGATTAATTCTGCCACTCTAGCTTCTCTGTCTCTCTGTATTCCTTCCTGTGAATGTAGACATATTTCTGTAGGGAAGCCTCTTGGTGACCTTGTGTACCAAGCAAGAGTTCAGTAAGCACACAGAGGAGCTGGTGCCAAACTGCCATGAGTCCATGACTTGCCCACTAATCACTCACTACACTATAAAAAGACCTGACGGGAGAACGAGATCCTGGCCAGCTCTCCCACCAACTGCCTGTCCGTGAGACCTGTCACCCGACCTCTCTGGGTTTTAAGTTCTTCAACCATGAGAGGAAGGGTTTGGAAGGGTGTAGAAGGGATGATCTCTATGTTTCCCTGGTTCAAATACTTTGATTCTAGGTGCAAGTTGGAAATACAGCTGACAATAACCAAGAGAGACCTGGAAATCCACACACAGATATCTACAAAGAGCCATAAAACCTAAAGGAGATACAACTAAAGGTATACAAAGGTAGCTGAAATCATAGTTTCATATGGCTTCAGTGCTTGGGTTTTACACAATGCCTTCACTCACTCTGTACTCTCTATTCACATCACTGAGCTGCCAGTAATTATTAGGGAGGCCCATCCGCTTGTATTCTTCACTGAGATTGATCAGCACCCAGCCTTGCTCTCTTTCTTCTTTATCCAGCATGGGGTTAAATGAAAAGCAGTATAACTCCTCGTATTTCACTGCAAGAAAAGGGAGGATAAAGTTAAAGCAAGTTTAGTCAAAACCAGAGCCAAATCTCCCCCAAAACATTCTGTCCCAGCTGGAGTACCCTAAGAGGCTATCACAATCCCCACCCCTAGCACGCCCTGGAAGCAACCTGTGTGCAGTGGATAGGGTCCCCCACCTCCTCCCAGCAATGACAAGAACACCTTGGGGTATCAAAACTCGACTCAGCAGTACCTCCTATCCTTTTAGAACACAGGGACGTCTTCATTTTGTGCTGCTGCTTTTTTTTTTTTTTTTGGTTGCTTTAAAAGCAAATATATTTTCCAGACCACATAAAATATGGAACACAAAAATTAAGAACATATGCATTCATTAGGCATCAAGATTCCATTTTTTTAATGCACATGAAGCTTGGATTTGGAATGGTCTCTCAGAGGCAGACACAGGCCGAGGCAGACACAGGCCCAGGCCAAATGCACATTTTGATGCTCACAGTATTAAAAAAGAAGAAATAACAAAACCGAAAAAACTGCTGGGAACATCTGAACTTTAAACAACTACATAAATGTCATAATTCCGCTGTCCGTTTGCATAGGATTCATTAAAAAAAAATCAATTCATAGTGCACAGTGCGGGGCTCATGGGATGAGAACTGGTGAAGGCTGCATCATGATGCGGCTTCTTTCAATCCTGTCGTGTTATGTCTGATGCTTGTGAAGCCCAAAAGCCCCACTGTTTCCCTCTCTCCAGTAAAAGTCAGGATTTTATTTTCTTGCTCTGGTCTTGCCATTTAAGGGGAAGTGTGGAGACCAGCACTATCCAACAGAAATATAATGTGACCTATGTAGGTCATTTTAAATGTTCCTGTAGCCACATTTCAAAAGTGTTCATCTATTTTATTTAACCCAAAATACCCAAAATCATTATGATTTCAACATGTTTGGGATATAAAATGTATTAATATTTGATACATTTCATTTTGTACTGTCTTTAAAATTTCATATCTATCTTTCACTAAATGGCACATCTCAGTTCGGAGTAACGCTGAACAGCTATCTGTGGCCAGTGGCTACCATTTTGGACAATGCAGATCTAAGCATTTCTGATGATAACAAAGGGTAGTTGATACTCAGACCTTGTTTTGTTCCAGATTCTGTTGCAATTAAGTGCATTAATCCAGTTAGTAGGCAACATTGATGGTACTCACTCTACTGATAAGAAATCTGAGGCAAAGGGAGTTTGAGGCACATTCCCTCACTCAAAGTCACATGGGGAGTCCAGGTTGAAATGAGACATCTGGCTGCAGAAGGCCTGCTCCTAATCATAACATATCATTCCCCAAAGGCAGATCCTTCTTTCTTCTTCCTTCCTTGTTCCAGTCCCCTAATCTTCCTGTTTCTCTCCAATACATTTCCTTCTCATAGCTTCCTTAGGTACTCCTATGTCCTCAGCATACTGATTGCATTCAATGTGGACAATTTAAGGTTCCTAAACACATGTATTTAAGGCCCTTTAAAGGATCTCACCACCAGCAAGAGGCTGCAGCAACACACAGGCAGCCTGACACAAAAACTCAGGTTTCAAATTTGTTTTGATGGCTACTGAGATGACTCATCCACATGAAAGAGGAAAGATAAGGGTCATATTTTAAGAACCAGATTTCTTCATTTTTCTTGTGGTATGTCAGTGAGATAAATTATGTTCTATTTCAGTCTTTCTCGATGTCACATTTCTAAACTTCAAAACTTAGAATTACTATTTGGACAAATAACAAAATATGCACATCCAGGTGCACTCACACACAAACCAGAGCAGATACTTTCCATAGAAACAATTTCTTATCATCTTAGCTAATGCTGCAGACAGCATGTGTAACTTGAAATCCCATTCTGGGAATAGTTGGCTGGACACTGACACATCTTTTCCATCTCTAAGTACCATTTTCATGACTCAGGCTTCTGCTACCATAATGTTAACCACAAATCCAAGTTGTTTCAGATGCCAAAAAGACTCTCTTGAGAAAGCCTCAGTTCCCTTGGTAAAAGACCTACTGAAGATGAAGTAATAATGAAATATAAGCTCCCTTTGTTAAATATTTACAAATAGCTGTAAAGGTAGAAGAAGAAAAACATCCTATGACTACTGACAGTTTTCTGTGTGTGGGCTGATACCTGTTTTCACTGGGTAGAGAAAATGAAACTATTCATAAATTATAGCAAGAATAATTTATAATAGACATTAAGCAGATCACTCTTGAACTAGGAGACATTAGGATGGGTTGACACTGAAATTATGAATTTTTCCTTTCAGATATTTTTAAGGAAAATGGTGATCAATCAATCTTCATGCCCAATTTAAGCAAAATTCTACCTGACAGCAAGGAAAAACCCCATTTTTGTCAGCCAAAACTCATTCATGTTAACATGGGCAAGCTTCTTACCCACAGGCAAGCCCAGAAGCGGCCTCCAGACTCTGCCTACTCTGAGAAATCAAAAAAGTGCCACTAGCACAGAAGAAAATTTTACTCAATTGTTCCCATCTCATAATTTTCTGTTTCTTTCACTCTCGACTTTTGCCAAATACATAGCAGAATTTTTAGCAATTAGCTGGAAGGTAAATTAAAAAAAAAAAAAAACTAGGTCTTGACCATCTTTTTAATTTTTTTTGCTTATAGACTTTTTAAAAATATATTAGCAAATTATAGTTGTATATATTTCTGGGGTAAAAAGTGATGTTATGACTTTTGACTATAATGTAGAATGATTAATACAAGCAAATTAACATATACATTGCCTCAAATATTTCACATATTCTGTAACTAGAATATCTGAAATTTACTCTCAGTGTTTTGAAATCTACACTACTCAATTATTACCTACACTCAGCACACTGTGCAACAGATCTCAAAATAATGATACCTATTTCTCCTGTCTAAAGCTTTGCACCCTTTGACCATCATCTCTCCATCTCCCCTGCTCCCAGCCTCTGGATTCTACTCTCTGCTTCTATGAGTTTAACTGTTACAGATCCCACATATAAGTGAGAACACGTGGTATTTGTTTTTTCTGTCTTTGGCTTTCTTCACTCAGCATAATCCTCTCCAGTTCCATCCATGTAGTCACAAATAATGAAATGTCTTCCTTTTGAAGGCTGAATAGCATTCCTTCACTTATATATACCATGTTTTCACTAGCTCTTCATCCAATGATGGATACTTAAGTTGATTCCACAACTTGGCTACTGTGAATACTGCTGCAATGAGAAAGTGAGAGCAGACATTTCTTTGACATATAGATTTCAATCTTTCCAGTAAGTACTCAGAAGCAGGAGTGTTGAATCATCTAATTTTATTTTTGTTTTCTGTGGAACCGCCATCTACTTTCCATAATGGCTGTAGTAATTAACATCCTCACCAACAGTGCATAAACATTCTCTTTCCTCTGTACCCTTGCCAAAGCTTGCTATCTTTCATCTTTTTGGTAAAGGCCATTCTAAGAGCCGTGAGGCAATATCTCACTGTGGTTTTAATTTGCATCTCCCTAATGATTATTGAGGTCGAGCATTTGTTCATGTATCTGTTAGTCATTTATGTCTTCTTTTGAGTAATGTCTCTTCAGGTCCCTTTCTTAATCAGAGCATTTATTCTTTTCCTATAGAGTTGTTTGAGTTCCTTACATATTTCGAATATTAATCTCTTATCAGATGTATGGCTTGCAAATATTTTCTCCCATTCCTTAGAGTGTCTCTTTACTCTGTTGTTTCCTTGGTTATGCAGAAGCTTTTTATATTTTAGACAAATCTGTAATCTTTACAGAATCTGAACAGAGAGAAAATATTTGCCTACTCTAGGAAGGTCATATCGCTCAGCTGATTTTTTACCCACTTTTAAAACAGGCATGTTAAAAGCTCCACTGGCTTTTCCCATCAGTCTGAGCCAGCATATCCAACATAAAACATATTTTGCTGTTAGTGACCAGCAGCTTTCAGCAGGAAGTTTACCGAAGGCCTCACCCTACAGGGCCCTATTACACAATAGCTCCTCCAATAAGAAGCAAATACTCAAAATGGCTTTGGACTGTGGGAGTAAACTGAATGTGCACCTTTAATTTAAAAAAAAAAAATTCAGAAAAAGTTAATGTGGAAATCTTGCTATTCACAGTATCATATATTATCTACATAAATCATATAACTAATGAAACAGGAGTCAAGTTTTAATGGTTTCCTGCCCAGAAAGCAAAATGATAATTTCTAAAATACTACATGAAATTAAGAATGAGTAACACTTTGGCTGTTTCTAGGAAGACCAAATCAGTGTTTCAGTTGAAAGCAAGAGCTCAACCCAAGCATAGAGATGGATGTTTTGACTGACTTTATTCTAGCATGGGTATTCATTGTGCGCCCCTTAACCTAGGGAAGCTTGTGGCACTACAGTACAACTCAAGTCTCTATTGCCCACCCTGGCTCCTTCACTCTCAGATAACCCCACTTCCTACTTCCCATAGAAAATGCAAGACATCAGGTGGAACTCTCAACTTGGAACCACCAGGCAAATAATGAGGGCTGCATCCATACCCAACCTTTGCTCCTTCTCTCTTATGTAAAGGAAAGGGTGCTCCTTCTGCCAAAATAAGTGAGAGATGTGGGTACAACAAAACATTAGTGAAGGAAGGAAAAAAAACCTAGCTTGTTCCCTAGGCATCAGGTTAAAGGTTATAAAAACAGAATTATTTAGCATAAATATATGGAGGAATTGCCTCTCACTATAGACTAACTGGGAGAAGCAACAAATAATGCACTATTAAAATCAAAAGTATTTTTAAAATCTAAAGAAAAAAACAAATATGAATCAGCATCAGCAGAATGTGAACGGTGGGAAAGGGAAGGGAAAAGTGACCAATAGTCATCAGGACACAGAGATGTGAGCGTTTTTTTAATGACCACAGTAATTATTGAAAGCTAAATTGCATCAAACATTATGCTGAATTCAGGCAATTTAAAATAACTGTATCTGAAAAACCATTTAGAGTGGGGTGAGAAGATAATACAGCTATTACGGATTTTGCATATTTAAAATAAAAATGACGGTGCCTCACCTTTGCTACTTTTTTTTTTTTTTTTTTTTTTTTTTTTTTTGAGACAGAGTCTCTCTCTGTCACCAGGCTGGAGAGCAGTGGTGCAATCTCGGCTCACTGCAATCTCCACCTCCTGAGTTCAAATGATTCTCCTGCCTCAGCCTCCCAAGTAGCTGGGACTACAGGCATGCATCACAATGCCCAGCTAATTTTCATATTTTTAGCAGAGACGGGGTTTTACCATTATGTCCAGGATGGTTTCTTGATCTGTTGATCTTGTGATCCACCCACCCGGCCCTCTAAAGTGCTGGAATTACAGGCCTAAGCCACCGTGCCTGGCCTGCTGTCTATTTTAAACACTGTTTAAATTGTGTTGGAATTAAACACTAGAACTGTTGAAGTTAACACAGCGGAAAAGGGCTGCAAGACTCTGATAAAAAAGAAATTACCACTGCAAAAATTGCTTAAACATCAATAACTTAGATAAGGAAAATAAAAAGTTATAAATTAAGCAAATAAGACTACTTCAATCATGAGATTTTTTAAAATCAAATATATCCAAAAGAATTAGGGAGTAAAACACTAAAAAGAAACTAGGAAAAGGAGGAAAATAAACAAAAGAAATTATTTAAGTGTTGAACCACCCACCAACACTAAAGAGGGAAAGATAATTGATTCAAAAATAAACAGCAGGAGGCAAATCGGAGGGAAGAGAGGAGAGATGACATGGGAAAGCCGAGGCCCTCTGAGAAACATGGGTATTTTCACTATAAAAGTTCACGTCCTTATGAATACATTAGATCTACAAGGTTAACTGATCTCATTTGAGCCACAACCCTTATTTTAACCTAAGTTAGTTCTTTACCAAGAATTCAAGAGCTTCTCGCATTTGGCCACGTTATGTTTTGCCTGAGATCTTCTATAGCCTGTGACCAAATTCTTATCAACCTTTATTCATACAAAAAGCAAACCAATAAAAAACTCTCCTAACTTTTTAGTAATTTGATTTACACTTATACCACAAATCCTAAGTCAATAAAGAGAGAATCTCAACATTTATTTTAAGTTGCCTGAATTCAGCAGAATGTCTAAAGCAATTTAGCTTTCAGTAGTTACACTGGTTTTAAATCACCTCATGCCTCTGTGTCCCTCTGCTGACACTTGGGAACTTTTCTCTTCCCTTCCCCACCCTTAGCATTCTGCTGATGCTAAGGTTTTAAAGTACTTTTAATATTAAATTATGACAACTTTGAAAATATCTCCTTCAGAGGCCTTGCCTTAAATGAACACCCAAGCATTTATTTCTAAGTAAAAACAACTGTTTTATCTTTTATAAAGCAGTGGTTCCCAAACTTTTTGGTACCAGGGACTAGTTTTGTGGAAGACAATTTTTCCATGGATGAGGGTGTGGTTGGGAGATGGCTTTACGATAAAACTGTTCCACCTCAGATTATCAGGCATTAGATTCTCATAAACAGCATACAACCTAGATCCCTCACGTGTGTGGTTCACAATAGGGTTCATACTCCTAAGAGAATTAATGCCACTGCTGATCTGATAGGAGGTGGACCTCATGCTTGCTTGCCCACAACTCACCTCCTGCTGTGTGGCCTCGTTTCTAACCAGCCATAGACTGGTACCCATGCTCTATAGAACCTTGCAGTTAGCTGGGTGTCCATAAAAGAAACTGAAAATATGTAAATTTTGTTGATGACTAACCATAATATTGAGAGAGCTATATTATACTACCAGAATTCAAAGTACACCTCCCTCACCAACCACACACATCCCGTTATTCTCATATGCTTGGAGGAGGGGGAGTGTGTATTTTATAAAATATCTTCAGATGGTTCTAAAAAGCCACCCATGCCCCAACTGAAGGCTACTGTTTCATGTCTAACCTCTTCCACACTTCCCCATCATCCTCTACAGTCAAAGTCCTGCTTCCAAAGTTATAGCCTATAATATGCCCCAAGTTTAGCACTGCTTTTAACATTACACTGTGAAACTGCTTGTGTTCTAGTTTACCTTCCCACATTTATTAAAGCACTACATTTTATGCAAACTGGTATTTCTAATCCTCATGTTTCAAAATGCTAGTGATTCTTTTTGAATCACTTACTCCTCTTACTTGATGGCTTTGATTCAATGAATTACTATGATTCCTTTTTTTTAGAAAAGGTAGCCAGTCAGGTCTCTGACTACATCTAATATCTAACTCCCAAAACTTCATAGTTTAAGAAAAAGTATCTATTTTTGAAAGTGGGGGAACATACTAATTTCCCCCTCGGGGATCGTCACAGTGAGAGTCCTACCACTTGCTGCCTGAGGGCCGTGACCCTCCTGGTCCCTGTGATTCACTCTTCCAGCTGCTCAGCCCTTTCCCAGTTCTCTGGGCTACTTCTAAATCCCATTAATCCACTCAGAGCACATTTATCGCCCAGTAATTCCATTAATCAGTGACACAGAAACTGTTAGCACAGAATTCTCCTCACATTCTCTGCTGCGTGCAACCTAACGTACATCTTCCCAGAACTTCTGTTCCAATTTTAGTGCACCCTCCAAAAAGTTCAACTGTTTTTCTGGCTTACTCTGCCATTCTTTTAACACACTTGGATGAAAAAGCCTCAACCAACTGCCTTTAAAGGGAAACAGTGTAAAGTAAAAATTACCAGATTTTGACAGCTCCCTGGCATCATTTCCATTCAGTAACTTTATCTCTTAGCTACCGACAAAGGATATGGACAAATCATAAGAAACTTAGGATCCAACCAAATGCCTTCACAAGTTTATAATCGAACTTCTTGTCCTGAAGCAAAAACCATTTGGCAAAGTAACTATCGGTACATATCTTATTTCCTTTATTAACTACTTCTGTGTAACATAACTTTTATATAAATGATCTCTTTTCACTATATTCTTCCAAGAAACATAGAGTATATTTCATTTAAGGAAAACAACACCACAACTCACACAAGCCACACAGAGAGGCAAGAAACACTCTGTACAAGTGAAGTAAAGCGATAAATCTGAAGAGCCCAAGACGACAGATAGAACAACATAGCAATGGAGAGAACATATTTTTTCAAACCTAAATGTTCTTCCCACCACATCAAATTTTCTTTTTTTTTTTTTTTCCAGGAGAATCAGCAGATCCACACTCTGAATAGTCACTGATGCTAACAAAGTCTAGTTGCACCAACCTTGGAAAAAATAAATTATTATCAAAAAGCAACAGAGGGGCAGGCATGGTAGTTCACGCCTGTAATCCCAGCACTTCGGGAGGCCAAGGCAGGTGGATCACTTGAGGCCACGAGTTCAAGACGAGCGTGGCCAACATGGCGAAACCCCATCTCTACTGAAAACACAAAAATTAGCAGAGTGCGGTGGTAGGCACCTGTAGTCCCATCTACTCAGGAGGCTGAGGCATGAGAATCGCTTGAATCCAGGAGGTAGAGGTGGCAGTGAGCTGAGACAGCACCACTACAGTCCAACCTAGGCAATGGAGCAAGACTGTCTCAAAAAAAAAAAAAAAAAGAAAAGAAAAAGAAACACCAAAGAAACAAAAAGCAATGGAGACCAAACCTTAAAAACCTCAAGAGGGAGAAAACTACTAGAACTCTCTGATAACACTTCCCACACAAACCAACTGGTCAGTTCTGTCACTGGCCCCATTCAAGGCAGCTCGATTACCATAATATAAGAAGGGCTTAACTTAAAGGCAATTTCACTCCCAAAGGAAAACATCCTATAATCCTCACCAAGATTATGTTAATACTAAGATTCATGAAAGAGACCCTAAAAATCAAGAAACTATGTATCAGGCCATCATTCAGGCTTGTCCTCATCTGAGGACCAGACTAACACCTAATCCCTCAAATACTATCATTTCTAAGCACCAAACAAATTATTGAACATGATTTGCGCATTTTTAAGAGAGGTTCTATATTAAATGCCAAGTTCCTCTCTCCTACCTGGCCTTGCAAGGCGTATCAGGGAGACGTACACGTCATGGCAATCTCTTTCCTGAGGTATGATGAGCTGTATTATCTGAAAGTTCTTGCAGCGAATCAGCAGAGGGCATCCAGTAGCAGTTGTTGCCTGTTTCTCAATGGTGGAAATCTGACTGTGAAGAATCTAAAACCAAATGTTAATTTGCATAAGCTAAGCACAAGTAACTAATGAATATGACAAAGACTAACATTTCTTTGTGGCTCAAAGAAAGACAAGAAACAGTGCCCAACCTCCAGCTAGCTCAATCCTTGTATCCAGATGATGAGCACTGACATGTTCCAGGTAAGAACCAACTTCCTAAATTTTTAATTTTATTTTTCAATACCAAGCTTCCTGAGAGCCAGGATAGTTATTTCAAAGCAAACCATTCAGCATGTAAATTTGCTTAAGGCCAGGTAAACATTTTGGTAGTCAAATGTTGAATGCACTTCAGAGCTAAAATTAAACAAGGTCATGAGAAGTTAGTAAAATAAACTTCTGCAATCAACAAAAGTTAGATGGCTCCGCAGGGAGGTGCCACCATGCTCCTTAATTCCACATGGAATGTTCAACTTCTGAATCAATATGGGATTGTTGTTTTCCAAGCTGTTGGTGGTCGGGCAGGCTACAAAAGAAGGGATTTGTTTTATTTTTTATTTTTTAAATATTTTTTACTGCAAATGATAGTGGTACACATTTATGGGGTACAAAGTGATGCTGTGATAGATATACATTATGTGGAATGGATTAAATTGAGCTAATTAACATAGCCATTGGTTACCTACAGTGTTTTTTTTTTTAAACTGAGACCCTTGAAATTTACTCTCATAATGATTTTGAAATATATGTTACTATTGAGTATGGCCACCTTGCTGTGCAATAGATTTCAAGATGTTTCCTCCTGTCTATTGGAAACTTGGTGTCCTTTGATCAATATCTCCTCATTCCCTCCCTATCCTGTGTACTCCCAGCCTCTGGTAAAACCATGATTCTACTCTCTAAAGAGGAGATTAACTTTAAAGAAAATCGTGCCAGGATTTTAAAGGAAATCACGCCAGGAAGTGAATCTCTGGTGTTACAGGAGGGTCTCTGCTCAGTCTTCAATGGCAGCATTTTATTTAGTTTCTTCTTCACTAAGAAGTGCCTGCCACCTTCTGCTAAAAATGTATCACGGTGCATGGAATATAGAAAAGGGAAATCTACAATTCAGGGATGTCATGATTGGGTTGCAGAAAAAATAATATGGCGAGGTGCAGTGGCTCATGCCTGTAATCCCAGCACTTTGGGAGGCTCAGGTGGGCAGATCACTTGAGGTCAGGAGTTCAAGACCAGCCGGGCCAACATGGTGAAACCCTGTCTCTACTAAAAATACAAACAAGTTAGCCAGGCGTGGTGGTGCATGCCTGTAGTCCCAGCTACTCAGGAGGCTGAGGCAGGAGAATCACTTGAACCCAGGAGGTAAAGGTTGCAGTGAGCCGATATCACACCACTGAACTCCAGCCTGAGCAACAGAGTGAGACTCCATCTCAAAAATAATAATAATAATAAATATCTAATAGTTCCATTAATAAGTAGCAGATATACCTGATGGTGAAACTCCTCTAGCTTTTCTTTTTCCAATTATTGGAAAAGTAGAGGCAACATAATAAAATGACCAAATGGCTGCATTATAGGACCCTACAAATAAAGAGTACTGCAAATGGAACACTGGAAGATGAAAATGCTGAATCTGGACAACTGACATTATTCAATCTCTCCTTGACAGCTGTGACAGGAAGCACTTGTATCATCTGGCTATTTCTAAGTCTTTCTTTAATGATGTTCAAATAATTTGTGTTTAAAATGATTAAGTAGATATGACAGCATAGAAAAAGGCCAAACACACATTCCAAAAACACCCAAGCACCAAAAGCCCACCCATCTCACCCTAAGGAAAAATGGAGGGCAAAACCTTTTTACTTCAAACAACGCAAAATAAGGAAAGCTAAAAATAAAGAAAGCATACCCATGTTTCTTTTCTTGTGTCAGGTGAATTTTCGACGAATATGACGTGAGTAGCCGTCAAATACAAAGTACCTAGAGCTGCTTTTTTAGGAGACACTCGATCTACCAAGCGGACATTTTCAACCTAGAGAAATCGGCATGATGAAAAGAGTTACCATAAACCAGAAGAGTGATTCACAAAATAAATGATAAGAGAGTAAACTCATACTTACTCCAAAATGCAATTTTTTGAGAATTCCCCCAATAATAAAAACCAAAACACGTCCCCTTAAGTTAATCGGATCTCTGAATATGATTCTGTATATCCAAAGATGAAAATTCACCAATATGAAAATAAGACTTTAAATGTACCACAAAAGATGTGTAGACCCTATTAAGAATACACTCTCTGAATTTTACACTGGTCTACACTTTCATTTCACTGGACTTATAGTAACATTTCTAATTTAAAGCAGAAAGTGTATGTGTTAAAGTTCTGAGTTTACACTGATTATGCATGAATTACATTCTATGAAAAAGAAAATAACACATTTTTCTACGTGTTTCTAACTTGTAGAAATGGCCTTAAGGCTGTTTGCTTCCATATAGACTAGTAGGAAGTATAAACATACACATGGGAGAAAAAAAGTATCAGATAAATGTATGTAAGGAAAACACACCATTTCAAGATCCTTACATTGATTTGTAAAAAAAAAAAAAAATCTTTCTAATGAATGGCATTATCACAACTCAGCTAAAATCCAAACTGCTACAAAAGATTTCTAGAAATAATTTTTATCAAGCATACATCTCTTATATGCAGGGCAATTTCAAGGATATGTGCACTGAGATCATCCTAACATGATATGTAATTGAAATGACAAGACAGTCTCTACAGGGCAAGAGACAACTGAAGCAATGATGACTCTAGTAAGACACAGCCACTATAACCACCCGGGGGACACTCCTATAATGACCACAGGGCACAGCAATCCTACCACTGCCAAGAATCAACCATCTGCAGATAAACACTGACTCATCCCATCAGTCAAAATGGTAGTTGCTTCCGAGAGGCAGCTTAGGAACTAATGCATTGTATTGACTACATTCTTCAGTTTAAATAAAAGCTGTGGGCCAGCATGGTGGCTCACACCTGTAATCCCAGTACCTTGGGAGGCTGAGGCAGGCTGATCACCTAAAGTCGGGAGTTTGAGACCAGTCTGGCCAACATGCTGAAACCCCGTCTCTACTAAAAATACAAAAATTAGCCTGGTGTGGTGGCGGGCACCTACAATTCTAGCTACTCAGAGGGCTGAGGCAGGGAATTCACTTGAACCCTGAAGACAGAGGTTGCAGTGAACCGAGATCATGCCACCGCACTCCAGCCTGGATGACAGACTGAGACTCCATCTAAAAAATAATAATAAATAATAATAATAGAAATTGTGGTCCCGATCTAGTTTAGGAGCCTCAGACCTCCCTTCTGCTCCAGGGAAGAGCCAGGGGAGTAGCAGACCTCATGAACATTCCTCAGGACACCAAGAGCAAACAAGCCTCAAGACCTCCCGTTGCCTCAGTCTCCTCTAAGCGCTTATAGCCAAGCCAGCCCTCTAGGAATAGCTCTAATGGATCCCAATTTTCAGAGATTACTTCCTCCCAGTTTTCCGATATCTACTGAGGTCAATAAAGAATTAGGTATTATAAATATTTGTAGTCACATAATTTACTCTGGGGCATTGCTAAATTCCTGAGGACTTGTGAATGTCTATGTATGTTAAAGACATTCATTCAACAACAGTGCCCCTCACCTACCAGCTTATGAGTTTTTTAAAGAAGTATTTCTTTTGTTGCTGATATGCTGCACATTCTTTTGTATGGTTATCTATCATGATGTATTTTTTGCAAATGGTCTTCATATCACTGGTTTAACTTTGATCGTTTCTTCCATATTTATAAGAACTCTTTATATAGTAAGGATAACAGCCCAAGGTCAAATGAGTTTTTATACCTGCCTCCTTAGCAAACTTTTCTATTCATTCTAGTATAAATCTCTTGAATGGTCTGAGTAGACAACTATTTTCTCTAATAATGTGTTGCTTCCTTTCCAGTATTTATCTCTTTTTTCCTTGTATAATGAATGGTATTAATTAGAAACTTCAGAGTAACTAGAAACAGCATGGAGACCATGGTCACTTTGCATTGTTTTTCATTTGTTTAATAACAGCTTTATTGAGATATAACTCATATACCATATAATTTATCCATTTAAATATACTATTCAGTGGTTTTTAGCATATTCACAGCACTGTATACACCATAATTATGCAACCATTAACACACCAATTTTAAAACCTTTTCATCACCACAAAAAGAAACCCTACACCCATTACCAGTCACATCCCAGTAATTCACCCAACCACTCTGGCCCTAAGAAATCAATTTACCCTCTGTCTCTGTGGATGTGCCTATTCTGAACATGTCATATAAACGAAATCACTCAACATGTCACACTTTGATACTGGTCTCTTTTGTAGCAATCATGTTCTCAATCTATGCTTCCATCCAAGTTCATCTATTTGTAGAATGTATCAGTGCTTTATTTTTTGTTGCCCAATGATATATCATTATGAGTATATATATTTCATTTATCCATTCATCAGTTGATAGACAATGTGGTTGTATATATCTTTTGACTACCAAGAATGCTGCTGCTTTGTACTTCTGAGCATAAGTTTTTGTGTGAAAGTACGTTTTCATTTATCTTGGCTATACGCTTAGGAATGGAATTGCTGGGTCATTTGGTAACTCTTAAGGTAAGGCTTTAGAAGAGCTTCTAGACTATTTTCCAAAGCAGCTGTACCATTTAATATTTCCATCACCAATATACACGGGTTCCAATTTCTCTGCATCCTTGCTAACACTTGTTATAATCTTTCTTTTTTATTATAGTCATTCTCGTATGCAAGATGGTATCTCATTGTGGTTTTGATTTGCATTTCCCTGACAGCTAACAATACTGAGCATCTCTTTACGTGTACCCATTTTTAATAGGAACACTTATAATCTTTCACCATTGAGTTTGATGCTGATATTTACTATCACATTGTAAAAGTGACCTAATCCTAGTTTACTAAGAGTTTTGATTTTTAAAAATCAGAAATGAGCGTCTTTCTGATATGTATTTGGATAAATATTTGCTTTTTTAACTCTAGTCCTAAATTACCAGTAACAGTAATCGTTTTCTTAATCTTTAAAGGAGTCCTGTGTTCCCGGTATATGGCCAACTTGGAATCACAACTATGTAATTCATACATAGTCACTGTGTATTGATATTTTAATATTCCTTGCATTTTCCTTGCCATAGTTATTTTTTTTATTTGGTTTTTGTTTTACATCTATACTTTTAAGAGAGAACCTGCATGCCCTAGCCTACTCACGGTACTTTTATCAAGTGAATTAACCACAGTTATGATTACATCAATTAATCAAGAAGCTTTCAACATATAAATTATTTATTAGTTGAAACAAGTATTGTACTTCTTTATACAGAAATAATTCTTTAGTAATGCTTTGAATTTCTTATGTGTTTACAGATCTGTTCAATGTTTCCAATTTTTACTAAATCTCATTTTAATATCATTATAATACCTTTACGAATTATCTTCTTACTGTATTTTCAAATTTTTATAATCTTTTCATTCTTATCCCTCTCTTATTATCCTTTCCTTCATTCCTAATACTGTGAATTATTTTCTTTTTACTTCTTTGTGATTAGATAGGCAAAGGTTTTTCTTTAACAGATATGGATATACCAACTTTATAATATTTCTGTTTTCTACTTTGTTAATTTCTGATTCCTTAATAAATGTTTTAACTTGCTTTGCTTGGGCATGCCATATAGTTTTTATTTATTTTTTTCCAGATTTTCAGATTTCACAGTCAGTTTGTTTAATGTCACTTTTATTGCTTAAAAACAAAAGTTTTTAAATTCAGTCATTTTCCTCCAAATATATCTCTGGCTGCATCCTGTGAATTTTATTCATAGTATTCTCATTCTTCTTACTTTGTAGATATTCTTTAATTGCAGTTTTTATTCCTCCTTTGACCCAAAAGTTTTTAAGGGGAGCATTTTCCAAATTCCCATATGGTTGAAATATTTTACTTATACTTTTATCATTAAACATTCTATTTTGAACTAACTACAACCAAGATATTATGAAAGAGTTAGAAAAACTCTAACTCTTTAAACAGAGGAGACAAAGAGAAAAATAAGGGGATATATTTATTTTGGAATATTTCTTTGGGAAAAAACTCATTTGCAGGTTTAAATGTGCTTCGCTAAATTAAACAGAAGCTCAGGGGTAATATACCCTCTAACAATAGCTACACATGTCTACAAATAGAATGCAAATAATTTTCCTTGCACTTAAGACTAATGAATCTTTATTGAGATAATCATATTGAGCATAAGATAATGCTTTGAGGCCAAAATATTTGATATGGATTATTTTCCCTACAGAAGTAAAGGAAGCTACATCGCTTAAATTATTTTTAGAAAACCTCGCTGGAGCAGAATAAGGTATGCAGATGCTGGTAGATTAGAAAACTACCATTGAGATGGGATTTTTCCATGTCTTTTTGTTAACTTTGGATGCTGCTGCAGGAAAGTTACGTTCCACAATTTGGCAATAGCTCCTACAGGTCCCAGAGCTGTCAAAAGCAATTTTAAAGATACAGAGGGAGAAAAAGAAATGAAAAAAAAAATGAGGGAAAAACCAACAGTATGATTTCCCAGAGATACTAATGATTTTTAAAATGAGTTATGAAAATTAAAATCAGTTGTCTTAGAAATGCTATGAAGTCAGAAGGCACTGTTCAGGGACTACCTCACAGTTTATACTAAGACACTGAAAGCAAATCTAAAATGAAATAAATTTCAGGGTTTGGGTACCATTTTGAAGACCCACTAACTCAATTACTCAGCCTTACTGTTGGGCTAACTTATTTCTATCTCATCTATACATATAATACGCTATATATAGTATAAAGTAATAAGGCCAGTTTTATACTTAGGAAGAGATAAGACTAAGGAAACAACCAGCTTCTCAAAATTGTTGCAACTCATTTGCCTGCTCCCAGAAGCAC